AATTTAGCCACTTTTATGCGAAACAATCATGGAAAGTTTCAACAAAAGAGTGCATATGTGTCAGCAAAGTCGTGGAGGCCATTATTCGGATATGCTATTCCATACATAACCCTATACCGTAAAAATCAAAAAAAAAATTATATTTTTTAATTATAAACCCCTGTTTTTATGAAAATTGCTTCTTGCGTCAATTTTGGCACACCCCATATATACTTAACATAATATTCAAAACTGTGAGTAAACATATAGAAATAAAGTTTAAACACATGATTATATCTCATTACATCTCCAGGATATGGTCCAAAGCTAACGAAACATAATATTCAAAACTGTGGGTAGAGAAATAAAGTTTAAACACATGATTATATCTCATTACATCTCCAGGATACATTCCAAAGCTTTCAACACAAAGGAAGTCAAACTAAACAGCCTAAAATCCTTCAGGTTTACATGACCCCTGCTTCCCGGACTTGGGATGAAAATCACCTTTACACGCCTCCTTGATCTGGGTACGTGACACAGTTAAGACAGCTTCTGAAAACTTTTAGATGTCGCAAGACTATAAATTGCCTAGTGTCTTGCAGGATTGTTGGAACTTCCATTCCGACACCATTTGTCGCCATCCATTCCAGGCGCTGCACGTGTTGAAAAGTTGTCCGGGGCTCAGACAATCATCTCAGTATTCCAGTCATTCTCAAAGTGTTCAACGCGGCAGGCCCTACTGAGCAGCCTCTGGAACAAATTCAACGTCAAAATAAGTTTGGGATCTCCACGGACATCTCGGTTCACGTTCTATCGAGACTTCTCCAAAAAATTGATTAGAGTGCCCTTAGACAGTAACCTGCTTAGTCTGGCATACCCTATTTCCACATTGCACAAAACCATGGAAATCACAGCCATGAACTTGTCTCGCACGATTCCCCTAAATTTAACTCAATTCGTTCTTCTTGGGTTCCTATATGGTAAAGGATATTTAGTCTCGAACCACACCGTGAAGAGAATCCAAAAATGGTCTCTTGTGGGGCACTCCCAAGTTCTGGACTAAACAATTTGGTTTAAAGTGTTATAGTTACGAGATCTTCCCAGCCAACAAAGCTGTTTGTGCTGGGAAAAGTAAAAATGAGAGTGTTGCCTCTATTGGCTATTTCTAAACTGCTGTTTAAGATAAAATCGAAAAAGGACTTACCTACTTCGTTTGTCTCTGAGATCGTCCAGAGAGTGTGTCTGGCGTTTCACAACCAATGATCAAACTGGATCGTTTGGTTGTGACCTCCTATACCAGGTTAGAGGTTTCTGGCGGTGAGGTAAGATATATTATGGGCTATATAAGCCGAGTCTATGAACAGAGTCTCGCCGTTTTCTTCCTCCAGCCTTGTAACCGCCAAATCCTCGATGCTGAAATTAGAGCAAATAAATGATGTGTCTCTTAACTAACATGCAGATTCTGCATCTAGTTCTACTAGCTTGCAGAAGAGGTTATATTTTCTGCTGCTGAGTCCTTTGAACCTGTTACTGTCTTGAATAATAGCGATGGCTTCCTCATATAGGAACACCATCAGGCTATCCGAGGCGCATTTCGAGTGAAATTTGTCTCCCGCAATACTCATTCTAGGGTTCCGAATATGTTCTAAGGTTTTTCTTGGGATTTCTTAGCAAGGATGAAGTTAATCTTGGATTCGTCTCCCTTGCCGCCAATCTCAGCGACGATCGAGCTGGGAAAATTCGCCGAAAGCCGGTTGACTCTAAACTTAAGACACCCTTGTCCTTCATGGTTATTAGATGTTCCATTACCATCCCCGAAAGCTTCGCCTTTACTTTACACCAGAGCTCCACCGACAGTTTCATGTTGGACGACCTCCTGTCGACGACTCCAAACTGTAGGTGGTCCCACACTATTTGTTCTCTTCGTATTTTTTTTTTTTGAGCTAGGTGTGGGGTTGTTTGTGCTGTGGATATCTGCGGCTTGGCAACCCTCAAAAGAGCAAGCTTTTCATCATCCTGGGACCTGTTGCGTTTCATATTCTCAAGAGGTTTTGAATCCACAATATGCTTTGAACTCATCACTTACCTTCTGGTATTTGATTTTGTCCAGAGCATCACTTTAACAGAGTTTATCTTTGGCCTTATTTTGGGTAATCTTGTTCAAAATTTACTTGATCTTAGAAAACCTCTTTTAAAGGAAATTGACATGGTCCTTTAGATTTTCTGCTCTTGCAACTATGACTGGTTCCTTCGGTTTTCGGTTTTGGCTATTTCTGTGACGACGTTCTCTGACTGGGTTCTTTGGCGCATATTAAATCTTCAAAGCTAAACTAATGGTTGGAGGCCAGTATCTTATCGTCAAACGAGGTGTCAACTTACTCTTGCCGACGTAGTTGTATTTTGTTGATGATGCGATTTTTAGTTTAGTTTTTAAGTTTAGTTTTTTCGATGTTGTTGATGTTTTGTTCCATTTTTAGTCCCACAAGTGTGTCCGGAATGACGGTCCTTTCTGGCATAGCCGACTTATCAGTATAAGGCATTTGTACAATCGATCTTGCAATCGTCACTACTGAGGTGTAACTAATACTTCAGGGTTGAGGGCGAGAATCACCAGACCAGAAGGCTTAAACTCATCCTTCTACTCCCTAAATGCGATCTCACCACGGAGCTCTCTAAGTTTTAGATTTCCTTGTCGATCTTATCGGCATGGCTGAACCGGTCAGATACTGATACATCGCTCTCAAGATCATCGATCTTTCTCAGTCCCTCACCAAGACAAAGTGGAGTTCCTACGACGAAGTTATTAACTTTTAGTAGCTATCTTCTAATTAAAAAAAAATGTATAATTAAAATATAAATATATAGATTATAATTTTATAAATATAAAAGTTTATTATAAAAGTTTACAACAAAAGTTGAATTTTACGCATGTTTTGACATGGCAATTTATTAAGATGTTTATGTTAAGATATGACATGTTTAAACACTTGGACTTTCTTTGATTCCAAATATTGAATAATTATCTATATAAAAACTTCGAGACTATGAAATCTTGCTTTAATTCTAAATCGAATTCCCTGTTTTATTAAATTTTCTGAATAATGAGCTAGCTGAAACATATCGGGGAATGGTATGTAACATTCTAATACAAAACCGATTTTGACTAAGCTTGAATGGTCGAATATGGAAAACTAGTGTCATTAATTTTTACTATACACATTTAAATGCAATGCACAAAACGTTATTTAGTTTACTTTTTCCCGCTTGAAGAGATGAGAGACTCCCGCTGAAAAATACGCAAGCAGAAATTGTCTCCAAACTTGACGTGCAAGGTTGTATTCTTCATCCATAATTAAGAAAACTGTCTTTAACTAGAATTATATTATCATAGAATTTACATGTTCCATTATGCTCTTAAAACTTATAAATTTGTTTCACATATACATAATTTCGTATTCGTAAAATTTTCCTATCTACTTCTTTCCTAAAAAATTCAGTCAAAATTCTTTCCTAAAAAGTCAGTTATGTGAGTTTATTTGTTCTAAAAAAATTACTTAAAGTTAAAACTGTTGATTTTATTTTTTCTAAAAAAATAAGTAGTAATATAATGAACTTTTTCTCTTAAATTAATTTTAGTTTATATCCTTATAAATTGTAACAAATAAAATATTAGTTTTAAAACACCAAACTTTCAAAGAGCGTCTACATACATGTTCAAAAACTTTGGAATTATTTGTGGCTTTTCCAACAAACTCGTACAGCCACCAATAATTTGATGATCATGAATTACAATGTATGTATTGCAGTTTTTCAGACCCTTAAATATTTTTCAACTCCACTTTTGAAATTAGAGTATGTATTTTTCTTATTATGGTAGGTTCGTCACCTGCCTGGTAAACTCAATGAAGTAAGAAACTGGTTCATGGTTACCTACAATATCATGCACCAGTCCTGTGCTCCTCCCAGGAGCGAAGTAGGAATGAAAAACAAACCTTTTATTATCATTTAGTACTCTTATAAGTGTGCAATTACAGTACCTACTTTTATAATAATTCGAACAGAAAAAAATCTGATGTGGTCAGCACATAACCGACCGCATTGCCTAGTTAAGTGAAAGGGTTAAAGAATATTATAAAAACGTCTTTTAAATACTTCTTTCCAATTTTTAGGACATTAGTAAGGTTATAGTTAACATACCTAGAAAAATGTAAATTTGGCTCTTAATAGAGTTTCGCTTTGTGCTACCCGAATTCTCAGAAATTCCCGCCAGTTAACCAGAATTGATGGAATTTCAAGAAATTCCATCAATTCGTTCCGTAGATATGGTGAAAAATGTAAAATCGGCCCGCAAATCAGTTTTCGAGCCCTGATCTTTTCAAAAAATTTATATGTTCATTGTTTTAATACGAGGAATTCAAATATTAAACTTCAATGAAATCGGTCAATTATTTCTCTTTATATACGCAAAAACGTATATTTGCGGACGGTCGAGGAAAGCTTATATATGAAATTTCAAGTAAATCGGTTGAATACTTTCTTCAAAATATTCAAAAATGTAAAACACCCGCTAAAAAGTGCAGTTCCCGAGCCCTGATATATCCCAAAAGTTGATCAATCCGTGCCATGGTGGAAATAGACTTACATATAAAATTTCATCAAAATCGGTTCAGTAGAACTTAGATACACACGTGCACACACAGACCGACAGACCGATAGACCGACAGATCGACAGATCGACGGACCGGCAGGTTGCTAAAAATAGTTTACTTACACTTCCTTACTATGGAGAAGTGCATTCCCAAAGAAAACTCGATATGCAAAATTTGTTGCCATCACATAACCTACCTATTGTTTACACGATACGGTCGGTAAAAATGAGTTAACTTAATGTTAAATAATTTATCTTTCATATTAATCATATTTTTGTCTATAAGTAAAAATGGAGATATTAAATGTAGATTCACATCACAATTTTTTTGTAAATTGCATTCGAACAAAATATTTTTTATTACTTGCAGAAACATGGCTTGTATAATCCTGACGATTCTTCCATTGGAAAACTCTTGAAAGCTTTAAAATTTGAACCCATTTTAAAAGTTTCAAATGCCTTAAAAGGCACTCAACTTAAACTGCTACTCCATTTGAATTCGTCACAAAAAGTCTTGTTTAAACCACAATGGTATTCGAAAGAAACTGTTATTGAAGGTCCAGTTTATAGTGGTAAGGACCGACATAGTGCAGAAATATACTCTTTTTATTTAGGAGCAGTTTTAAATATTTCGTGGATGCCCTTAGGTAAGTTCAAAAATAAAGGATTGCCATTTAATTTTAAAAGAAAGGTAATAAACATACTTCTCTAAACACATTTATCATTTTAAATTTTTAGTGGTTGGTCGTAAAATCAATTTACAAGAGGTATACCAAAAGGGCGATTTACTTTTAAAAAAAACTATGTTTATCAAAGGTAAATATTTTGCGATTTTCACTAAAGATACTATGACATAGTGACAATTAAGCGTGAAACTTTAAGAGAACTAAAAAAATGTTGGGGTGATTTGTTTCATGAAACAAACATATTTCGTTTTAGCGAAGTTTTTTTTTTGTGTTTTTTATTAGTGCTTTATTTTCATCAAGAATAATTTTTCATATTTTATGTAAACTGAACATATTTTATCTGTTTTTTATATCCTTCTCAAATATTTTTGTAAATGCTGATAAAAGCAAGATGGGAATGTAGATGTTTAAGCTTGACAAATCGCCCATCTCATGTAGAGGAACTACTACTCCTACTTTGAGAGCATCAGAAAAAATTCTTTGCCTAACACTAAAATTAAAAATATATGATAAAATGCCCGCAATAAACCATGCAATATATTTTACGACCGTACTGGAAATATGGTTATGAGAGCAAGAAACTGACATTTTTAGAGTTTTTTATAATTTCATAAATTTCAAATGCAAAAAAAACTCTTAAAAACGAAAGTATTAAGTTGATAAATATCGTAATGCAAAGAATCATCATAAATATAAGTTAGACCAAGATTGTCACTTATTTGAACAAAAGAATAAGTAAAATACTGCAACCTGTCGGTCTGTCGGTCTGTCGGTCTGTCGGTCTGTAGGTCTGTCGGTCTGTCGGTCTGTATGTCTGTCGGTCTGTCGGTCTGTGTGTGCACGCGTGTATCTCAAGTTCGGCTGAACCGATTTTGATGAAATTTTATATGTAAGTTTATTTCCACCATGGCACGGATCGATCAACTTTTGGTATATATCAGGCCTCGGGAACTGCACTTTTTAGCGGGCCTGTTTTACATTTTTGAGCATATTGAAGAACGTATTCTACCGATTTACTTGAAATTTCATATATAAGTTTTGCTCTACCGGCGATGAAACCTCCTAACTTTTGGAAGAAATCAGGCGTCAGCAACTGGACGTTTACTACGGGCCAAATATACATTTTTGTGTATATAAAGAGAAATAATCAACCGATTTCATTGAAATTTAATATATAAATTCCTCGTATGAAAACTATGAACATATAAATTTTTTGGAAAGATCAGGGCTCGAAAACTGATTTGCGGGCCGATTTTACATTTTTCACCATTTTCAAGAAAATATTCAACCGATTTACTTAAAATTTCATATATGAGCTTTGTTTGACCGTCGTGAAAATTTCTAGCTTTTGGAACAAATCAGGCATCGGCAACTGGACGTTTACTACGGGCCAGATATATATTTTTGTGTATATAAAGAGAAATATTCAACCGATTTCATTGAAATTTAATATTTGAGTTCCTCGTATTAAAACAATGAACATGTAAATTTTTTGGAAAGATCAGGGCTCGAAAACTGATCTGCGGGCCGATTTTACATTTTTCACCATATCTACGGAACGAATTGATGGAGTTTCTTGAAATTTGATATTTGAGTTCTGGTTGTTACCGAAACTAACTGTCGAGCATTTCAGGGAATTCGGGTAGCACAAAGCGAAACTCTACTAAGAGCCAAATTTACATTTTTCTAGGTATGTTAACTATAAGCTTACTAATGTCCTAAAAATTGGAAAGAAGTATTTAACAGACATTTTTATAATATTCTGTAACACTTTCACTAAACTAGACAATACACATTGCGGTCGGTTATGTGCTGACCACATCAGATTTTTTTACTATTGTTCAGATTTGCACTGTGACTGCAAGAATTTATATAGTTTTGAAACTTGGTTAGGAAAATGTTAAATTATGCAGATGAACAATTATCAGAATTCAAGCAAGTTAACGAAGCTCTAAAATCATTCTTTTTCACAATTTTTTACTCAGTCCTTAAATTTTTTGAAGTTCTGTGAAACAGTAGACCAATCATACAATGATCTGTTATATTGAAATCAAAATCAAAAATATCAGATACAAAATCAGTATTATTATTTCTGTGAAGTTATCAATAAAACTTTCAAAATTATTTATACTGCGTGTAGGATTAGATAATGAAGATGTACCTTAAACCCAAATGCAGCATACCTAAAAATCATCAAGCAGATTCGAGTTACATAAAAAGTTAACAAAAAACAAAACCATATTTTTACACAGAATTTTCAAGATAATAAGATAATACCCATATAAATAAATTTATTTCACACCCATGCAGTTTATAATTTCCAATAAAGCACTATAACATTCCGGAAATTACACAGTCAACAGCAATAATATCACAAGTAGTTAAATTAGGGTTACTCCATCAGAACGATTTGTTTCGTTACATTTAGGCACCTAAATGTACTTTGTAATTGGAATAATTTCATTATTTGAAATTTCACAATCGTAAATGAACATCTCAGACAAAAATATCAGAATAGGCAAATGATCAAGGCGTACCAAATGCGAAAGTAATAAATCAAAATTTTTATGCATTCTACGGATATTTTGAAGCACAATCGAGAAACTAACACTTCTTGTGTTACTCGTATTAAGTTTAGCAACACAGAAATGATTCATTTCACTATTCATATCAGAATTAACAAGGAATCTGAAAAAAGATTATTTACGTTATTTTTATTTATAGAATATAAAATTAGATAAATTTAAAAATATTAAATAACAAACTAAATATTAAAAAGGTATTTTTGTAATTCTGATAGCAGTATTACTTTCTATTCTTATATATAATATATAATTTGCAGTTTTTTAAACAATTTTACATTTATTATTCGCTTTTAGCTTTTTCACCTTAGCCAGTAACATTCTATTATGCTTAGTTAAACATTCATTTATGTAAGTATGATTATTAGCATATTCATCACCAAAACAATCATTTAACTTTATTTTTTTTACTTCGAACAGCATTTAAAATATTTTGTTTTATAACAACAGAATAAAATTTAACTTTGACGATGTTTGTGTTTACATTTTTTGATTTTTAGTTCTAAAAGTACAAATTCTGCATGTGTATTTTTATTTCTTTTTTTCGAAAAAATCAATTTTTTCTTTTTGTAATTTCGTACACTTTCTATGAACCAAATGATCAAATTGCTAAATTATCACAGCTAATATTCATTATTTAGCAAAATAACGAATATTGGCTGTGATAATTTTCGTTATTAAGCAAAGTCTAGATTTCATAAATTCAATCGATTTTTGAACGTTTCTTTCTTATTGCTATAAAACTTTTTGGTGCCATGTATCGGTTGAAACGCTGTTATTTGAAAACTGTAACAGAAAAAAGTTCAGCGATAATAAATAAAATTTAGTAATTACTAAAAAACTCCAGCTGAAATATTTTTGAAGGATTTTTAAAGTGAGCGATATTTATAAAAAAAAAATATCATTTTTTATGTACATATATGTATGTGTTTTTTGAAACTTAAAAGCTTTTTTTCACATTTTTTCTTGAAAATGATTTGTTTAATCATCGTTCAAACATGTTAATAAGTGTCGTCGAAGTGTGAAAGGAAGTAAAATATGTGAAGATTGTATACTGATCATATAGATATCGAGTAAAAACGTTTCTGTAGATCTAAACCAATTAATAAATATCCTGCGTTTAACTATGTGAATATGAAAAGTTATTTTCTAGACATTTAAAATTAGTTTCTATGGTTTTATGGCAGCTACTTGAACTTTTCAAGTGATTCCATAAAAACTTTAAAGATATATTTGCGCTATGATTGTACACATGTCCACGAAAATCCTTGCAGCTAGCTTTGTTTTTTTTTCAAATATATAATATTTACCCTATCATGTCAAATCATTCCATAACAACTTCACGGATATGTCTGACCTGCAATAAGACATAGTGACTGTCAAGTTTCATAAATCTGACTTTACTATTTTTCCGGATAACTAACATTAGCTTTTAGGGCTGATTGCAGCTAACCGAATCTGTGGAGCCATTCCATTATAATTTTCACAATAAATGTAAAATGTGATATAAATTTATTTATTAGTTTTTGGAATACTTAAAATAGTCTCTTTGAATTGTACGACCACTATTCGAACTCTTCTCTCGATTTGATTCAATTACAACAGGATCCGTCCTTGGCAGAAGAAATAAAATTTGTGAAAGTTTGCTTTAGTCGTGTGATCAGTCGATTGAAGGGACGGATGACGGATGAACATGTCTAATCAACGCAGAATTTTACGTTGAGCCAGAACTTATATACATATTCATACTGCAGGACGGTGGGGACGATGAAGTTTCACTTCAAATTTCTATTTAGCAAACTTTTGTATCATCAACTTGAGAAATTTTTCGTTATTTCGGAGTTGCAAATTAAGTGATGCTATTATAATTTTGTTCTCGATAGTCTTTTTTTGTGTCAAATCTGGCCATTCCAAAAAAAAAAACGTAGTGTCTTCCGAGGTTTTACAATATTATTTACGACTCTCATAACTACTGTCATATATTAATTTTTTTAATGTAGGAGTTAAAAATCATCGAAAGACAAAGATAGACGGAACCAAACTGTCTTTAAACCTATCAATAGTTGGGCACTTTAACCCAACCATTAATTTTGCGCTGTTGCGTATTCTGTTTATATTCCGTGAAGGAAGGTACGGAGGTGCTATGACAGAACTTTAGGCTAAATCACATACATCCATATAAGCTAAATGATTTGGTTATATATCAACAACTTATCGTATGCTGCCAATCTAGACTTATTAATAAAATAATAGGTTTCGCTAAGCGTGGAATACTCCTCGTCTTATTTGTTTCGAAAAAGTCTGTCAGATAAATATTATTCAAGCAACTTCACGAATTGCCAATTATTGGGTTTATTGTTTATTAATGAACGCCTGGGCCACGTCCAGAAATATTATCGAACTTACTCGCCTTTCTTGTGACGCCTTTTCCACAATATTTGTTATTCTGTGTACTTGATCAATTATTGCATGCTTTGTTCTAAATAAAAAATTTTGATTTGGAGACAATTTCTTATCCCGTTTACCAAAAGAAAAGATCTGCAGACAA